CTTTGCATACTTGCACACTATTGCAGTAACGTGTTAAAGAAAGGAAAAGATACTTTTTTTTTTTTTTTTTTTTTTTTTACAAAAACATGTAGCTGGGCATTAAGACATCTAAAAAGGACAACTGTATGTCCAAAAAATATCCATAACTTATTTCTGAATTCTGTCTCTATTTTAGTAACAAATTTTGCTACAGCAACTTTTAGAATTAGTTTTTCCTTTAATTCTTGATGTATCATAGAGGTACTATTCACTACTCTGTGTATCTTTTGCCAATGGGTTTCACTCATGGGCTTCACTTCAGTTCACTTCAATTTCATTTGATTCAATGATTTCACATAAAATTTGTAGAGAATACTTCTGTTCCCTGCAGTTTCTCTAATATATTTTATAAACTGTTAGACTTATATTAAATGAGAAACTAGGGTGTGATTAAAATAGGACTAGTCTAGGTTGTGCTTGTAGCATATAAGAAATTATTGATACTACATATATGCAGAATATGCCACTGAATTAATTCCAGTCTGTCCTGTGGTTTAAATCTATCCTTCAGCCAGCCAGAGATTCTACTCTTAAATACTTCATCTGGACTGCTCTGTGCAGCAAAAACTCTAGGTGTCTCTGCTCCCCCTACCCAAGAGTTGAAATTGGCTCCATTTCAATCAATAAAAGTTTTATCATAGACCTTACTAACACCAGTATTGACTTCTTGCAGACCCAAGTCTGTGCTAACTAGCCATATTGAATTTATCTAAAGAAAAGCTGTGAAGTGGGAAAAATATACACACGGAAAAATCATTTACTCTGTCATATAATAAAGTATTTTAGGTTTAGTACTTTGAAGAGCAAAAAGTGCTAATATGTATGTTATTGATGCCGTGTCTGAGAATTTTTTCATCTGGCCTACAGAGAAGTGGAAACACTGTTTCAGTAATATCATATTTTATTTTAAATGAGGGCAAATGGAAGAACATTTAAAGCTGTAGAAAATTTCTATTGAAGGGTCCTAAGTTTGTGATGGTTCCCGTTACCAGGGGTTATATTCCTCTATTTCAGGAAACATTGTATTTATAGATATTGAAGACCTTTGTTTTAACTGTCATCTAAAATCAGAATCTAACATAACATCCCTTAAAACCTTTTACATGGAAGATTAATTAATGAACCAAACAGAAAATTTTAATTTACTAAGACTTTTTCATCTCCTGTTGCTTTGCTTAAGTTTGTTTGAAACATTTGATGAAAATACTAACCTAATCCTGGCATTGTTAGCTTATCATGTGTGACAAGATCACAACATAAACAGTCATTGGACTGGCATTTCAATTTTTATCTAACTAGCCATAAAAACAAGCAATAAAACTGTGTAACAATGTCCTCCTCTTGCCCAAGATTTCCAGGGATAAGCAGCACAACATTTGATTTACTTGAAACTCAAATTCTTCAAAAAATTCTAGTGACCCTTTACAACTCTGTATGTAATGACACCCATCATCCATACATCTGGCCACGCTGTATTTTCAGTATACTTAAAATACTATTTCATGTTCTATCTAAACCAAAATATTAATGTCTTGGATTGACAGTAATTTACTGATTCAGTCTTCGCTATCTGATGGCAATACCAAAAATGAGGATTGGCTTGCACTCTGACAGCATATCTCAAAATTCTTGCATCTTACGTCTCTGAGAGGTTGTTGAATGTTGAATGTAAAATGTTGAATATTATCTCATATTTCTGTGATAATATTATCTGTGAGAGGAGGTAGTTACACAGATTTTGAAGCACCCTGTATATGAACGGCAGGTTATTTTTATTGAACTGCTCCCTACACAGTTCCGTAACTATTCCTTGGTCAGATCTCTGATTGAAAAATACCAGGAGCTAACAAAGGGATAAAATTACTCTTGTATAATCCTACTGTGCGTTTTTAATATAATGTGCTAATACATCGTCCAGTGTTCCTGCAGAATTACAACACTTCTCTGAGTAGCCCTGGCCAATATCTGATTGATTCTGGTCTGTGGGGATCGGCCCAGTTCAGTATAATTTCCTGTCTTGTTGCTTTCTTGTCTATTAGAGAGGGTTTGGGTCCGTGGAAATCAATAAGCTTACACATGCAAAATGTGAGGTTATTCTCTAGCAAGTTTCATTTGCATCTGTAATTTATGGAAAATGCTGTTTTCTCCTCTGAACATCTCTATGCACTTTTTTTTTTTAGCAGACTACAAAACAAATACCCATTTAAACATACCCCCCAAAGCATTCTCAAAGGAGAAGATTAAAATTACGGTAAAGATGCTGGAGATGCTTAACCCATGCATACCCAGGATCTGCTACTAAGGATGTTAATACCACTTAACTGTTTTGTAAATGAAGTCATATTAGTCTCAGCAGAATCACTGAAGTTATGATTTATCCTAAAATGTACATTAATGTTCTGTTTAATTATAACAGATGCTAGATTTCAAGCATCTAGCAATCTATTTCCTTTAACCCTGTGAACTTTGGAAAGATGGTAGTTAGTAGTGCGCAATAGGAAACTTTATAAGAAATATGTTTCTAATATTTCCCTCACTTGTTACAGAGATTGAAGCAAACTGAAGAAACAAAAGAAGATTCCCAGAATAGATTATCTAAAATTTCTCTGGAGTCTCTCAATAAATTTAACAGCAATAACGTACTTTCATTAGAAAAAGAGAACTGTCTGAACAAGGTTGAAGGACAAAAGGAAGAAAATGGAAAGCAAGAAGAAGCTTCCCTAAACAGCTTGGGTAGGCACGACGTGGACAATTTAGAATCCTTGAGCGATTCTCTATACGATAGCTTCTCCTCCTGCGCCAGCCAAGGCTCAAACGATGTGTAGAGACACTTTCCAGTGGGCTGTGACTGCGGCACGTAACGGAGCTGGAGGCGAGAGGGGAGCGAGGGGGCAGAAGAGACGGTTGTTGAAAATTCTCACTCTAAATGGCTGTACTGACAGCAGGGTGTTCTGACTTTTCACCACACAGCAATAAGAAAGGCAAGACGGCACTCACCGTGATGCGTGAGACACGACACTGAAGACAGCGAACAGTTACACGGAATAAAGTCTTAATTTTGCACTTTTGTGAATATTTGTACAGTTGTAAATATCTTGGGAAAATATATTTGTAGGGATAAATGACAGCAATAAATATTAAATTGGTGCTATGCTCTTGTAATGGCAGATTACTAACTTAAAGAAATTGATGTTAATATTAACAAGAAAAGTTAGTAGATTTTTTTAAAAAGATTTATTATTGTTCTAGTCTTAAAACTGTATGTAGAAACACTGCGTTACCGTAAACCTGAGCCTGCCAAATTGTCTGTAATAAACTTTCTTGAATTCCCTTTTACAAACATATTTTTTTATTTTTAGTGCAATTCCATACAGGTGTTCTAGGGAAATGTGCATTTAAGTTATTACAACCTCACAACAGGTGTCTTATTTCAAAAGGGTTTTGACTTTTGACATGGCAAGAAAATTAATAGATTAAAAGGCCTGATACTGCTGGTATTGACTTCATCAATCATGTGCATAACTGTTTAAAAGATGAGGGTCAAAGTAATTCACTGCTGACACAAACGGAAGTCGCAAATGAATGAGAACTACACAAACCGCCCTTTACTTCTAACTGCAACATAGTTTGTCTGCTTCCACCTCCTCAGTACTCGTTTCCTATCAAATTATGACTGTACCATATTGTGTTATCTTTTGTAGTCCGCATTTGGTCTTAATGAAATTGTACATGCTAAAATTATTTTTAAAAATCGAAACTCAACTCCTGTTTGTGACATTTAAGTAAGATGTTGGTGCTAACCAGTACTAGTTCAAACATATCTAGGAGCAGGGGGATTGGCCTGTATTGGGTGTTTTTGTTTTTTTCTACAAAGGTTGTTTATATGTAAGGGAAAGTCTATTTCAAAGGTTCTGTGTATTTTTTCTAGATGTGAAGTATTTATATCTGCTTTTTTGTACAGCAATCTGTAAACTAGATATATTTGGGATATTTCTAGACTCTACAGTTTCTTTAGCACATGCCTGTTATCTTTGAAATACCGTATGATCAGTGTTAATACTTCGTGCAATTTGTTATATTTTAAGTCATTTCCACCGTAAACTCGCATCGTCTTTTTTGACTTTTAAGAGATTGTCATCGAAACATCTTTCGTAAATAAAACTTCTCTTGCGTACGTGTGCCTGAAGAGGGGGGTTTGGAAGGGGTTGCTGTGACACCCAAAGGGTGAGGGGGTGGGTGGGCTGGGTGCGGGCCGCGGGACGGGCCTCGCGCGGGCGCGGAGGGGGACCCGTCGCGACACGGCGGCTACAAACCGCCCGAAACTGAATTCAGCCCCTTCCCTCGCCGCTGAGGCTGTGAAACGGTCACAGCGGCGTAACGAGACGTGGTTGTCGGGGGGCAGGGAGACGAGTCACCCCTTCGGCCGGGGTGAAAACGGGGCGGGAAAATAAAAAAACCACAAACCACACCGTCCCAGCAGCGAGGACCGGGCCGCGGCACCCGCCCGCGCCTCGCGCCGCCTCAGCCCCGGCCCGCCCGCGCCTCGCGCCGCCTCAGCCCCGGCCCGCCCGCGCCTCGCGCCTCCTCAGACCCGGCCCGCCCGCGCCTCGCGCCGACGCCAGCACCGAGCTACAGACACCGCGCCCGTCCCCCCCCCCCCCCCCTCCTCCCCTTCCTTTTTTAAGCTTGAGTTCGCCCTCAGGGGACGAGGATGGCGCCTGCCGGAGCGCGGGGCCGTGCCTGCCCTCCGCCTCTCCCGGGGAAGGTGGGCTTTGCCGGGCGTTTGTGGGAGACGAGCGACGCCTCGCAGCGCTACTCCGAGCCCGGCCTGTAACGCCCCCCCCCCGCCCTTAGCCGCGCTCCGGCAGCCACCTGTGGGTTTCGGGCGGGCGGGGAGACGGAGGGGGCCGGGCCGCCGCCCCCCCGGGGAGAGGAGGAGGAGGAGGAGGAGGAGGAGGAGGAGGAAGGCTGAGCGAGCCGCTCCGGCGGGCAGAGGGACGCGGGAGCCCGCCGCAGCGCCTTGCGAGCTGGACGCCGCCTTAGTGGCGCGGGGGCAGCGGCAGGAGCGGGGCGGCGTCTTCGCCCTCGCCCAACTTTCCCCGTCGCTGAAGTGCGGCCCGGCCGGGCGAGGTGCGGGGAGGTTGGCGGGGATCCCCGCCCCGCTCCGCCGGCATCACATGGTGCTGGAGGAGGGAGCGGGGAGCCGCCCCCCAGCTTTCGCTTCTCGTACAGTTTTCTTCCAGTCTCAGCGCTCAACTCCGGCGAGGCTGGAGCGCGGCGCCGGGCTGGGCAGGGCGGGAGCCGGGCGGACTCCACCACCTGCTCCCAGGGCGTCTCTCCGCAGCGGGGGCGGCGGGGAAGAGGCACAAGTGCGCGGCGCCTCCGCTGCCCCTCTCCTTCTGATGCCCCTTCGCGACTGCACGCCAGCCCGGCGGCCGCGGCTCCGGGAGGATGCGGATCTTCCTCCTTGCTGCAACTTTCTGGGGATTGTGCCTGGCTCCAGGTAATGGGCTCCGCGCCGCTCTCCCGGAGGCGCCTCCGGCGAGCCCGGGTTGCCTGGTGCTGCCTGCAGCGGCCGCGGGGAGGCTTCGTCCCCTCGAGTGTCCGCAGCCCGCGGTGTCCCCGGCGCCGGCCGCCCCGCGGGGCGAGGCGAGGAGCGGCTCCGCAGCAGCACCGGGCACCGGACCCGAAGGATGCCGCCTGCTGAGCCCCGGGGACTGGGGGTCCCCGCTGCGGGACGAGGCGCCCGCTGCTCCCCGACGGGGCTGCGGGAGCCGCCGCGCCGCGGTGCGGGGCCGAGGGGAGTGGAGCGCCTCGTTTGCATGATAAAGGAGGGAGGTGAAGGATGCTCCGCAGCTCTAATTGTGCATGGCAAAATAGTAATTAAATAATTTGTAATGAATTAGCAGTTAAGTAAACCCGTCGGCACAGATAAGAGCCGAAGCGTATCTATTAGCCGGGTTGCTCTCTCCGGAGCGCGGTTAGTTTTTTAGCCGGTTGTGGGGAGGGCAGCCCCGGTGCCGGGGCATGTGTCGGTGCCGGGGGTCGGTGCGGGGCCGGTGCCGCCTGCTGGCAGCAGCGTCCCCAGCGCCGCGCCGGGGAGGCCGGGCGGGAGTGGCAGTGCAGCCGCCTGTCCGCCCGGAGCCCCCGCCTTAAACAGGTGCTGAGCACATTAGGCGTCGCCTCGGCTGAGTGGAAGACACGTTTATTTTACGTTATTTTTGTCAAAGTCGTACTTTTGCTGAGCCGTTGAGCAGTTAGGAACAGCAAAATGCAGAGGGAAAGATAAGGAAGATTTCTGGCACGTGTTGATTGTTTTAGATTCTTTTTTAAAAAAAAAAAAAAAATTACTATTCTGAGCAAAATTCTATCTGTTCCAGGTTTGGGTTTGCAAATACAGTGCTACCAGTGTGAGGAGTTCCAGCTAAATAACGACTGCTCTGCTCCAGAGTTCATCGTGAATTGTACAGTGAATGTTCAAGATATGTGTCAGAAAGAAGTAATGGAAAAAAGTTTTGGTAAGAATTTAATAATTATTCTTCTGTTTGTTTGTGTTGGATAGTGTGTGTTGCTTTTGGCTCCACCCATTCATGGTCTTCAGCTACAGATGAATCTGGCATTCCTACCTATAGGGACAAGATTCAACTTCTTGCACTTCTGAGTGACTTTGCAACTCAATAAAGTTAATAAGTTTTCTTTAAAACTGGTGTGAAAACTGAAGGATGCAAGCCAAATGTTGATAAAGCTGTTAATACACAGTCTTATGGGTCTCAGATTTAGTGTCCCAGCACTGGGAAATTAATAACAACAAGTTAGTTTAATCTTATTACAGTTAATTACATGGGCTTTTTTCCCAAGAGATGGAAGAGCATTAAATTAGTAATTCCCTCCTTTCTTTTATTTACTCTACCAATTCATATACTCTGAAGGTTCATCTTGAGGGAAGTGTAGTCATCTTTGTTTTTATCCATAATAGAAAACATCAAGCAAAAGGGAGAGAGGGATAAAAAGAACGTTTTGGGTAGTTTAGGGGGGAGAGGTGGGCACAAATGGATATATTTGCCATACTTATTTTCTAAGTCTAAGGGGGCTTTTCCCTTACTGCCTTACTGTAATTAATATTAAGTTAGCATATTTGGAGATAAATATTTTAAGGGGGAAACTAGCTGTGATTCTGCGTCTTGCCTCTATTGTCTTTTGAGCTCTACTAAAATTTTTTTTTTTTTTTTTTTGTATTTGGCATCATGGAAGGCATTTGAGACTTAGAGAGAACTGTCTTGGTTTTTAGACCACCACGTTGCTCTATAGCCATGAGTAGAAGACTACAGCTTTATTAGGGAGTCGAGGGCTGAGCAGGGTGGCAAGGCAGCGTGTTTGTGGGAGTTGGAGCCTGTGTAGCATCCCGCTCTTACTGCCGACGGCCGGTAAGGCGCCAGGCGTTGTGAAGGGAAGCTGGCAGTAACTCGCTGGTGTGCCTCAGCACGGGGGTGACCTCTGTGCCAGGGGGCAGTCTGGGGCTTCAGAGCCCCGGTGTAAGGGGAAGCTGCTCTCTGGGACTGCCCATCTTGCAGCTGAGGGCAGTGCTTCAGAGCATGGAGTTTACTGGTGTAAAGGACTATTACACTGTTAGTATAAATCAAGCTGTAGTCTGTCCTTTCTCAGTGAGTCCTTCAGTAACAGCAGGATCCCTCTCTGCCTAGCAAATGTGTGTAGCCATCCATCTTGAAAAGTAAAATTGGTTCTTTGCGTTCGGAAAGTATATATTAGTATTTTTCAAAGTGCTGATCAATCATCTAGTTCTGCTTTTGCTGGTATTTTCAGATCACTACATCGGCAATCACAGAAAAATAGTAAGAATTGTTGTTACCTATCAACAGTAGCTGAACTGCTGGTACTATGTTTCATCCTGGGTAACACCCTCCACAGTGACTGTATTTGTAAAATATTTAGAAGCTCTCCAGTGTAGAGGAAAAAAACTGTGTGTTTAAAGGAAGATTAGTCTCTTTCAAGGTACATATTATTGGAGCGTTTTATTTCAAGTTTACTTGGAAAGGGTAGTTTGGATAGGAGATAGTTACAACTCACAAAGTACTTCTGAAGTCCAAGTCTCTCTAAATGAATGCTTGAAGGCTTTGCTATCTGCACACCACAGCTTCTGTAGTACTTTTAATAGGTTTGAATGGATGCTGTGTCAATCTGAAGGGCTGTAATCATTGTATGTAGACATAAACAAAAAAGTCAGTTCTCATTTAATTCTTAACAGTTGTTTGGCACTTGGTTTTTTAAATATCTTTCCTGGTTCCTTCATGTTTTCATTTCAATACATCCCAGACTCTACCAGCCCTCCAGAAATGTATCTGTAATCTTCCCTTGGGATGAATGTTAGAAAAGTGTTTTCAGTCAAGTAAGGCCCTCTCAGATTGAAGTGCAGGTCTTCTGGGTGGGTGGGCTTGCATGTGTGCGTACCCACACCCACGGATCTGTGGGGAGACAGCCACTTCTGCGCTGCGTGTGCGGGGGGGACAGTCAGTCATGCAGCTTCTCTCAGACTAGCAGGCAAGACTGCAGTCTCGCCAGCGTGACTGTGGCACACTGAAAAAGCAAAGTGGAACTGTTTTAGTAGATTGTAGACATACATTGATACATAACTTGTCCTTACTCCTGTGAAGAAATTGGTTTGCAGTATAGTAAAGAAGGAGCTCTTAAAAGAAACTTCTGGGTGGTTGATTTCTTTTTTTTCTTTTTTTCTGTGCAATTTTATATTGTCTCTGAGCAGATCCTTGGATTTTCCCTTTAGGAGGTAACTAGCATGCTGTGCATAGCAGGTACCACTGTTCTATTATATTTAATTTACTTCTATAAATGGAGTTCTTATTCATTTTAAGCTTAGAGATTCTAAATTCCAGTTAGTGAATAAATTTAAATTTTTAACTTAACTATTTCAAATTGAGTGAAATTTACATTGCAAGCTTAGTTTCTCTGTTATCCTCAGTCAATTCTAGAGAGGATTGGTTGTAAAACAGAGATGATTCAGTTCATCATCCTTTATTGTTTCTTTTCCTAATTGATATTTAAATGTGTGCAATATAAATGCCTTATTCTCTCAAGTTTTATTTAATAATTCATTCTACTTCTACCAGTATATTTCATAACTCGATTCTTTTGGTTGTTGCTTATCACTGAAAGCTGAAATATTTCAAATATTGATTTTAATTTATAATAGACTTGAGGTAGAATTTTTAACCCAGAATATGAAAGATGTGAATTTGCATTTATTTGACAGCACAATCTCATAATTAGAGTTTTTCCTCCTCACTAGATACAGTCAAAGGAGTATAATTTAATTTTTGTAGACTAACCCATTTTTGTCCTTAATAAAATACAGCTGTCTCTGAGCAAAATGTTACAAGTTCTCCTTAACCTTATTTAAAAGTTAAATGCAATATTTTGAGATAAAGTTCATGGTCTGAATCAGTAACTTATTGATGTAGTCACTCTTCTTTTGCAGTATGCATTAACCTGTGTGTTCATTTTGCTATCAAGGGGGTTACTGACTTACATTCTGTGGTGTGCCTACAAGACAGTCTCCAACATGTAGCCAGTGACTTTTTTTTCTTACATATTTGCTAGTGTTCGTTGAGTTGTGTGGTGTCAGCTCTAGGCTTCAGCTTCATCTCTGTATTAAACTTTTGATAAACAACACTGGAGAACTACAGCACTGTGTTTTTTTTAATTTACGTTGTAAATGAAATGTTTTTCACTTACGTTCCTTATGCCTGATCATAGTCAAACAAACAACTTCAGTTGCTGTAAAATTAGGGTTAGTGCTTTAAATGTCACTGTGTTCTCGTAGAACATTATCTCAATTTCTGGAGGTAGTCCAGAGAAAACAATCTTAGGAAGTACTTTTTGGCTTCAGGTGAGAAACAACAGCAGCATAGGCATGTCCCAGACCTTAAGAAGTGGCTGTTACTTGACAGCCTCCCATGTGAGTAACTAAGAATGCAGGTATTAGTCACTAATATTTTGAATTAAATCGGCAGGCATGTTATCTCAGCTGTTAATAGCATCAGGTAGAAATTTACTCTATTGCAAAACTTTAAATGAATTGCGAATTGAGCAGTATGTACACATGTATCCAATTAAGTGATTATGTGGAACTACTATAATTCTGCCTTCCCTGAAAACATGCACTTTGCTATGGCAGTTTATATTTCAGTTGCACTTTGGGGATCTGTCAGTGCACAGAATTATTGGAGACTTTGTCAAGTAAATGACGAAATATTTTTCCCACTTTAAGCAGAGTTGGATTTTAAAATTTTGCTAGAACAAGTTTTATGCAGTTATGTTAACATTCTGTTCCAATGGGAGGTACAGAAGGACAAGACAGTATTTTGCCTGCAGTGCAAAACCTTACAAACTACTTCATTAATTTAATCTTAAAAAAAAAAAAATATCATCAGTGCTTTTTTCCTTTAGAAGGAAGAAAGGTGAGAATGGGAAGTAGCACTGAATACAATACCAAGTTATTTTTGTCCCACAGAAACTAACATAAAGGATAAGTTTCTAGCGCATTCTTCAGCTTGATAAGCAGGTGTTTGAGAACTGTGCAAATGAAATGTTTGACAAAGAATCAAAGCTCTTGCTTATAATAATTCCACTTGCAGATACTTTATGGAAATACCCATGGCAGATTCTCCTCTCTCACTTGCCTCTCCCCTGCCCATCTATGAACTTCTAACTTCAAAATGTCAGTCCTCCTTCTCTTTTAGAATACATGTAGAAACAAAGAAATCCCACAGTATATTGGGATCACATGAAAAATCTTGATGATATGTAGGTGACTATATAATGTATATATGCTTTTACACGTAGATCATAGAAAACATACTGACAATGAAGTTTACCTCCTACCGAAGGCAAGACCTATCTGAGTGTAAAGGCTTATCTAAAATCTACTTAAGGCCAAATGAAACTTGCAATGTGAATAGATCAGGAAAAAATAAAGCATGAAGGATGAGACAATCAGCCCAGAAAGGTAGCCAGTCTAAATTTCTTAGAAGTCTCTGTAAGTAAACCTCTCCATGTATATGTTTTGAACAATATGCCTTGTGCTTTAACATAGTTGTGAACATACTTTGACGAACTTTTACTTTTGCAAGGGGAGAAAAAACAGAACCACAGTAGCAAGACTGATATTTTAAAATGTGTGTCTATATAAAACCAAGATTGTTTCGGAATTTTCCTTTGCAAGTGAATTGGGAAACGACCTCATTATTTCTATTAATCTGTGATAACAATCTTCTCTTATTTGTTTGGTTTACAATGGTCCTTTTAGTGTATTTACATAGTATATCATCCTGCAGTGTAATTAAAGCAATTGCTGTAATTGTGTGCTTAAAGTAGTGAGTGAGAACATCATGAACAAGATCATCATCTCACTGTTGAATTATGATTTTCTTGTTATTTATTTAACTCTTCTCAGTATTGGTTTCCCAGTCATTTGTTTTACCAGGCA